CATGTGGGGAACAAAGGAAAGAAATGAAGCCTCTTTGGCCTTGTGAAGAGTGAATTTAAAAATGACATGGTGGCTGTCTCTAAATATTTGAGAGGTTGTTATGCGAAAGAGGAAGGAAGCAATCATGTGTGGCTCCAACAGCAGAGCTAGGTCTAGCCCACGGTGAAATTTACACAGTAAATTTCGACCCAAGAACCTTTTCTAACATAGCCCTCTAACAGGCAGGGGTGTTTAAGGAGAAGCTAAATAATCATTTGTCAGGGGTGGGTGGAAAGGACATTCCTGCCTTGAGTGGACAAACGGTCTAGATGAGTGTTTCTGGGCACATAAGAATTACCTGGGGTCATTTAAAAGAATACAGATGCAGGCCCCACCCCAGACGTAGCAAAACAGAATCTTGGGGGATGGAGACTGTATTGCAAGAATCACATATGAGGAAATAAGTCTGTAAGAAGATTCATTCAAGCCTCAATAGAAGAACTATGAAAGGCCAATCAACATGAAAAACTGTTCAACTTTAAGGGTAATCAAAGAAATGCAAATTAGAACAGTGATGTACCATTTATTTCCTATCAAACTGCAAAAAATTTTAAAATACTACTAACAAGCGTTGGCATGGGAGAGAGAAAATGAACACCCTCACACTCTCCTGGTAAAAAAATAAACTGAAGCTACTTTCTGTAGAGCAATTTAACAGTACATAAGAGGAATTTTTAATACTAAAAATGTATACAGTGTAATCTTTGAGCAAGCAAGTCCACTGCTAGAATTTATCCTAAGGGAACAATCTGGCAATTTTGAAAATGCCTTCTCAAAGACATTCACTCAGGTACTGATGGTAATGCTCTATATCTGCACTGTCCAATATAGTAGCCACTAGCCACATGTGGCTATTGAGCACTTGAACTGTGGCAAGTGAAATTTGGAAACTGATTATTATTATTACTTTTTTTTGAGTCGGAGTCTTGCTCTGTCGCCTAGGCTGGAGTGCAGTGATGGGATCTCAGATCACCGCAACCTCTACCTCCTGGGTTCAAGCAATTCTCCTGCCTCAGCCTCCTGAATAGCTGGGACTACAGGCATGCACCATGACACTTGGCTAATTTTTGTATTTTTTTTTACGTAGAGACGGGGTTGTGTCATGTTGGCCAGGCTGGTCTCGAACTCCTGTCCTCAGGTGATATGCCTGCCTAAGCCTCCCAAAGTACTGAGATTATAGGCGTGAGCCACCACACCTGGGTATGATTACTTTTAATTAACTTAAATTTAAAAGTAAAGAAAGACATATAGCTATTTACCTTTATAGTTCATGTTTATAACAGCACAAAATTAGAAAAATTATCAAAATATCAAACAATAAATGATAATTACCTGTGATACACCCATAATGAAAATTTAGGCAGTCATTAAATATGATTATATAGATTTGTATTTATTGACGTCAAAAAATGTTAATAAGATACTGATAAATGAAAAAAAAATTATTTAAAGGTTGTGCGGCCAAGGGAAGTGGCTCATGCCTGTAATCCCAGCACTTTGAGAGGCCGAGGTGGGCGGATCACGAGCTCAGGAGATAGAGACCATGCTGGCTATCACGGTGAAACCCCGTCTCTACTAAAAATACAAAAAAATTAGCCGGGTGAGGTGGCGGGCGCCTGTAGTCCCAGCTACTCCGGAGGCTGAGGCAGGAGAATGGCGTGAACCCGAGAGGTGGAGCTTGCAGTGAGCGGAGATCACCACTGCACTCCAGTCTGGGCAACAGAGGGAGCCTCCGTCTAAAAAAAAAAAAAAAAGCAATGAAAGCTTAAATAACAAAGGTTCACTGACGATTAGAATAGAAAAAGACTCAATCCAGAGAATTTTTTAACATGTTAGTCTTAGAAAACAAATTTTCCTATTTGGTACTTAAACAAGGGTTCAGCAAGGAGGCCTCTCTGGCTTCACAGCAACCTGCACTGGTCTTTTGTACAGATCCTGGTGGACTGGCTTGCTCTGGGCCCTACTAACCTCCAGTACCGAGACTATTTTATGTTTAGGTGCCAATACTCTGGTTAACTTTCCTGACCCTCAGTTTATTGAGAGCTTAGTTCACTGAGAGCCTCTGAACTGGAAAGGCTTGGTCAAGAAGCCCAAGTTGAAACCGGCTTTTATTCTGTATTGTTCTCACCTCCTTACAGATGAGGCTGTGGGTTTTGTCCTATATTACCTACTTTCCACAAATTCCCTTGGGAAGAGTGAGCAGAGGAGTGGTTCCGTTTTCAGTGCTTCCCTAAATGCAAACATAACAAACATTCCATGCTAAAGTAGTTGTGAGCAGCGGGTTGCGGGAGTCAACAGCTGCAGACGCTTTTCAGCCATTCTCGGCTTCTGGAGAGCTTTTCTCTACTGGAGCTATTGAACGAAATCTGGCTGATGCCAGCCAGGGGACGCTGCGTGCATTACGGCGCCTGCAAGGGCTACAACCCCTAATATCTAGCAACTCTTTCCCGATCCTTTGGCGCACAAGGAATTGAGGGTAAGCTCAGCAGTAAACAGTATTTAAACAGCTACTAGGCGACTCTTCCAGGCTGATAAAGTGGCTTCTCTAAAGGGCAGCCATCATACAACATGTTTAGCAAAATGCCTTTGTTCCCCTGCGGCACCAGTAGCTACATCCTGAATTACAACAAAATCAATTTAAAAATTTAAAACTCTGCATTTTAAACATGTATATATGTAAACACTTCTCTCTTAATCACAGACACTCTCAGGTTATAATGTTTCTCCCCAATCCCCTCTTGAGAAATCTCTCAATGATGATTCTGTAATTATCCCTTTCCCTGGGTTAAAACTGACCCTCGTAAAAATGCTGAACTTACAGGAAAATGCAGTAACAGTGGTACAGTCTCTCTGTCTGCTTTATTATGTAGTTAGTTAATACATTCGTGGAAGTACTAATAACTGAGTAACAGTTTGAATGTGCAACAACATGCTATATATATAGCCCAGGCCCAGCCTTCTGAATTTTTCGAACAGTGAGGAAAACTGAATGAAATTAGCAATGGGCCAATAAGGGTGTAATCCTAAAATCCTTAAAAAAAAAAAAAAAAAAAAAAAACCTAAACAGGAAATACTGTATATTTGTACAGCTTGGTGGGTTTTCCACGTTCTAACAAGAGATACACCAGAGGAAAGCTTGACTTGCTGCGGTAATGGCTCTATCTCATATTGAAGCCCCAACGTGAGTATCTTGGGTTTATAGCACAAGTGTAAATCCTACCTCAGCTGTCCCTTAAAAGAATCAGAAGTTATGGCAGCAGCTGCAACATGGTCCCCTCACTCTCCAGCCACTCGTGGTTTTACTAACTTTGGTTAACAGCTCTTTGTGAGACAGAGTCATTTAGGAGCATACACTCCATGTAAGAACTATTTCCTTATTTTTTCATTGACTAAACTGCTTACAAATAGCATTCGCTAAGGCTCTATGAAGAATCTAAAGTTGATTTGTGTGCCTAATCTGGGTGTCCTATTGACAAAGACATTCCCATACACACAACCAACCCAGATTGTAACTAATGAAAACAAATGAAGAAAAAGATCATTTGCATTCGCATAATTATAGAGCATCTAGCATTGTATCTGGCACATTGTAAGGGCTCAATAGATATTCATTGAGTTAGATTACTAGAATCTGTTCTGCCTCACTCCCAAAATCTCAATGTTTCACATACTAGAGTAATGAGTAAATATTCCTCTGCATTGCCTGGTGTAAATGGTAAAAATCAATGGCCTTGGTCCCAAGTAAGCTGGGCTGACAAGGGAACCATGGCCACTGCCAGTGTCTCCTAGAAGAGACTTCTGCCAGTAACAGTTTTTTTCTGCTTTGCCATAGAATCAATGGTTAGGAAGGAGCCGCTGAATCTGCAATGCACAAAATTCTTTTGAAAACCTAAAAACATGGGAAAGAACGCTAATGTTAACTTTTTGCGCTAGGGTGGCAGGTCAAGCGCTGATCAAATCCCAGTGGAAGTTTTCTTAGTCCCATTTATTCTCTTGAGAAATCTGTCTACCTACGACTTTCTTCGCGTGTTGTGGTAGAAGGCCGCCAACCCTGCTCAAGGAAGTTTTATTGTTGTTGTTGTTGTTTTGTTTTTGTTTTTTCCTCCTAATTTAGGAAAGTGTTCTCTGCTGGGTAGATTGAATCACTTGTTAACAATCGCCCAAGATGAGAGCCCTGGTATAAATGCTCTGCACACAGCTTGCCTTCCTCTCTTAACTGGCTGTGGTGACAGGCAAGGCTCCAATCTGACCTCAACAGGTCCTCACTCCAAAATCAGACTGAAACACACAATAAGCCAAGTCCATTAAAATAACATTAAAGGTCTGGATTTAGCTCCACTAAACAGCAGAATTAAACTTTCAAGGGTCCAGCCACAATAAAGAGATTTCTTTAAAGTCATTTAGGGTTGCACAGTTGTAGCTATTAGGGATCAGATCTTTATCTCAAAGGTACATAGTTTACCTTTGATTCTCCTCCAGAACTCCCACCAATGTCAACTTTCTCCACTGTTGGGATCAAGCCCCTGGCCTCCCTTTAATGTTGGGTTTTATTGCTGATTCTACAAGATCAACAGAAAAATTACAAGGAAAAGCTGTGAAGTTCCCTTCCGATGACAAGTTGTTTTAACAAAAACAGCCCTCTCTTAAACGGTGAAACTTAAACACAGTAAACGACTCGCTGTAAAATGGAGCTGAGGGAGACAAAAACAAACAAAAACAACAACAACAACAAAAAACAAAGTAACAAAACAAACACAAATTAATCAGTCCGATATCTTATTCAGGGTTTGTTCGCTTGTCCAGGAAACTGGCAACGAGTGTCTTGAAAACAAGAGAAGGGGCAAGTGCCCGTTAGCACCCTTTCGCCTTTCTCCGGAGTCAGACAATCCGGGTAAGGCTGAGGGTGCTCTGGGAGGGTTCCCAGGGAGTCAGCGCGCTTTCGAATCCCCATCCCCCAGTACCGAGCTGTGGAGCTCTGACCCCAGGTCCTCCATCCCTGGACTGACACACCCAGTCTCCCCGCAAATCCCCACGGCACCTTCCCCTTGCCTCTGGAGCGCTCGCGGGTCCCCGAGGGACACCCTCTCCCTGCGGTAGATGACCCCGCGCCCACTCTGTCGCGGAACCCCGTTGTTTCTAATGCCCTCCCTCCGCAGCAGCACCCCTTCAAAACCCATCGCCACCCTCTCTCTCCCCAGTTGCAGGAGGAAGTCGCTCTGCTTCCTCTGTTCTCACCGCCCGCCCGAGCTTGGGCGCCCGGGGCTTTCTGGGTGGGGTTCTTTTTTGTGTACACGGTGTGTGTGTGTGTGCGCGCGAGAGTGTGTGTGCCAAACGCTCATCGCATCCTTCCGCCTAGGCTGCCTCAGGTGCTTGCAGGAGGCGATCGGGATCTCGTTCTGCCCCTATCCCCGGCTCTTTGTGCGGAGTCCAGAGCAGCGTGAGGTCAGCTCTTTAGCTCACACCCCCGGCCCC